TGTAATTATAAGTCCAGACTTCAGTAATGTATCCTGAATTTTAAAATATATTTACTACTGGATAATTTCAATTTGTCCAAATATTCCAGAATTTCCTAACTGATTTTTGCTATGGGGTAATTTAGTTGTTTTAAATATTATTTTTACTACACCTTAACATAGAAAGCTTATATAATTTTGTTAAACACTTTATACAATGTTCTTAAAAATATTCCTAGAAGTGGAGTAATCAATTATTTGAAGATTTTAAGGCCTTCAGAGCCTTGCCACATGTTTTCTTCATTAATATTGTGCTATTCAGCATTCCCAATAATAGTTATGAAAATATTTCTCTCGTTCTGCTCCCACTCAGAGCTAATACTGGCATTATGTTTTTAAAAAATTATCTTCTTTTTTTGCAAGGTCAATACCATGTTGTCAGTTTTATATTATTATTGTTAAGAAGTTAATTTTCAATTTTTAAAATTATAACATAACTATAATATATTTTGTCAATTGAAGTGCAAAAATATTTTTGTTTCCTATGACATAGAATACTTAGTGTTTATTTACTCACTTTTTCTCCTGTTTCCCAAGTGTCCATTTTAAACCATATTTAGTGGCTTTTAGATTACATTTTTCACGTTTTATTTTATGTAGCTGTTCTTAAAACACTCCTTGATAGATGCAGTGTTTTTAATAACATTCACAGAAGTTTTATCAGTTTAACAGAAATAAGATTTCCTATAGTTTAGCCGTTTAAGGAAATGAGAACTGAAGTCAGACTGCCTAGGTTCAAATCCAATTAATGATGTAACATTGTATAGAGTAGTTCCTCTCTCTTGGTTGGCCTCATTGTGGCCAAGTGTGTAAAATGTGAATGATAGCAGTAACTCAGAATTAAAAAAAGAGTTAATGTTGGGCTGAGTTGGTGGTGTAGTGGTTCAGTTCATGCGCTCCACTTCCGTGGCCCGGATCCTGGGCACGGACCTATGCAAGGCTTATCAAGCTATGCTGTGGCAGGCATCCCACATAAAAAGTAGAGGAAGATGGACACGGATGTTAGTTCAGGGCCAACCTTCCTCAGCAAAAAGAGAGGATTGGCAGTGGATGTTAGCTCAGAGCTAATCTTCCCTCCCACCGCCCCCACAAAAAACAGAAAGATGGAGTTAATGTACATAACTAATTGGGAAAATGCCTGGTATATAATAAGCACTTCATAAAAGTCAGTTTTCAATTAAAGTAAATATAGGATTTCTATATGCAAAGCATAGAGCTAAGTGTTTCCAAAATACTATATTATATAATCTTCATTACATCTTAGCAGGTTATTATTATAATTCCATTTTTTAAATTAGAAAATCAAAGTTTATAAAGGTGAGGAAAATTTTACTAGATCACATAGAAGGTGTGGAATTTTGGACCCTGATTCACATCTCCTTTCTTCTTCCCCTGATACCTTTTGTTCCAAAATTTAAACACTTAACTTCATTCATCTCAATTGAGGACACTTTCATGCAAAATTTTGAAAATAGCATAAAAGTGATATATTTGTTGAGCTTTGAATATTTGTTTTGTATTTTCTTTGCCTACTTTCATAAAAGGCAGCATTGATGGTTTCCAAAACCTTGAATCTCCAAATTTCTTCCTTAAAACTCTCTGGATGGTAGTAATAAAAGCAGTATGTTACTGGCATAAAAACAGACACTTAGGCCAGTGGAACAGAATTGACAGCCCAGAAATAGTCAACTAATATTTGACAAGGGAGCCAGGAATCCTCAGTGGGGGATAAGAGAGACTCTTCAATAAATGTTTTTGGGAAAACTAGATAACCACATACAGAAAAATGAAATTGGACCCCAACTTATACCACTCACAAAGTTTAACTTGAAATGGTTTAAAGACTTAAACATAAGACCTGAAACCACAAAGCTCCTGGAAGAAAGCATAGGAAAAAACCTCTCAACATTGGTCTTGGCAATGATTTTTGGGAAATGACGCCAAAATCACAAACAACAAAAGCAAAATCAACATGTGGGCCTACATCAAACTAAAAGTTTCTGCACAGCAAAGGAAACCATCAACCAAATGAAAATGCAACATATGGAATGAGAGAAAATATATGAAAGTCATATATCTGATAAGGGGTTAATATCCAAGACATGTAAATAACTTGTGCAACTCATTAATAAAAAGCCAAACAATCCAATTTAAAAATGGGCAGAAAAACTGAATAGACATTTCTCCAAAGGAGTCATTCAAAGGGCCAACAAATACTTGAAAACGTACTCAACATTATTTACCATCAGGAAAATACAAATCAAAACCAAAATGATCTACCACATCACATATGTTAAAAAGGCCATCATCAAGAAGACAAGAAATAAGTGTTGGTGAGGAAGTATAGAAAAGAGAACACTTGTGTACTTGTTGGTGGGAATGTAAATTGGTTCAGCCACAATGGAAAACAGTATGGAGCTTCCGCAAAAAATTAAAAATACAACTACCATGTGATCCAGAAATGCCACTCCTGGATATGTATCCAAAGGAAATGAAAACAGGATATTGAAAAAATATCTGCACTATCATATTTATTGCAGCATTAATCACAATAGCCAAGACATACAAACAACCTAAGCGTCCACCAATGAATGAACAGATTAAGAAGATGTAAGATATATATATGTAAGATATATATATATATATATGATGGAACTTTATTCAGCCATGAGAAAAAGGAAATCCTGCCATGGTACAACATGGGTGGATCTTGAGGGTATTATGCTAAGTGAGATAGGCCAGACAGAGAAAGACAAATACTGTATGCCATTAGTTATATAGAACCTAAAAAACCCAAACTCGTAGAAACTGAGTAAAATGGTGGTTACCAGGGTGGAGACGGTGGGGAAATTGGAGAGATGTTGGTCGAAGTGTACGAACTTGGAGTTAGAAGAGTAAGTTCTGAAGATCTAATGCACAGTATTGTGATGATAGTCAACACTACTGTATTTCACACTTCAGTTTTGCTAAGAGATAGATCTTAAATGTTCTTACCACAAAATGGAATGATAAGTGTGACGTGATGGAGATGTTAGCTAACACTACAGTGGTCATCATATTATGGTGTATAATGTATCAAATCAATATGTCATACACCCTAAACCTTCATGGTGTTATATGTCAATTATATCTCAATAAAAATTGACATAATTGAATTAAAGTCAATAAAGAAAAACTATAGATATAAGTATTGATATACCAACAAATGGCAAAGAAAAGATAAAATTTTAAATGAAGTATACAACTTCCAATAGCACCAAACATATCAATTAGCTTTGAAGAAACATAATGATGTGCATGATCTCTACAATGAACACCACAAAATAACATTGAGAAAAATTTTAAAGGCCTACATAAATGAAGAGATAGATTACATTTATGTATTTGATGTTTCAATATTTTAAAGGTGTCAATTCTATAAAAAAATCTCTCTCTATATATATATTTAGCTATATATATATATAGGTTCAATGAAATCTCAATCAAATTCCCATCTAGTGTTTTGGAGAAGTGAAAATTGTAAATGTCATGAAGAAAGGTTACATCCAGAAAGTAGGAAGGGATAATGATCACAAAGTGGTACTTGGGGATCTGGGTGCTGGCAAATGATACTTTTCAAATTGGCTCTTTTTCTGATAAAACATTATTATGTTCATTCATATTTTATGCACTTTATGCACATATGTTAGATTTCAAAATAACAGGAGATTAAAAAGTTATAAAAGAGAATACAAAATACGCTGGGAGAAATAGATTCAAATATATAAAAATAGCTTTGATTTTCAATTTAATTTAAAATTTAAAGTCAGAGATTTTCAGATTGGATAAAAACAAAACTGCTTCTTTATTTTAATAAGCAGCACACTTAAAATTTAATTTTATAGAAAGGTTGAGATTAAATTCTACAAAAATATATAATATCAAAATCTAAATGATGGAATAGCTATATTAATATTAAACAAGATAGAGTTCAAGTCAAGGCAAAAGTTGTATTATTTATAAAGACAATCATATCATTTTTAAGAAACCCAATTTTTCAGGAAGTCAAAAATTATGAACAAGGGTGCATCTACCAATAACAGCTTCTGTTTATAAAAATAAAATACAGAATCAAAAAGTGGCAAAATGACAAATTGTCTTGCCTACATTAAACTTTTGGAAGATGATAATATATATCTTTCTACTAATTGATACATAAAGAAGAAAAAAATGGAAGATTTTTAACAAAAGAGTTAACGTGGACATTTAAAATTAATACATCAAATTTCAACAATTGGAGTATGCATATTTTGAAGCTTATGAAATCTGAATAGTTACCAGGTCACAAAAAAAGTCTGTAAAATACAATGCTTTTTTACTGGACAAAGATGACCTTGATATTCTTAAAGATTTATGGGCAATATCTCAGGAGATATATATATCTATGTGTGTATGTGTATATGTATATGTGTGTGTGCAATCAAATGTCAATCTTTTCTTCAGCATTTGAGAATTCTTGCAGATATCTATAAAATATTCACCACATATGGCTATCCTATGACAAAGCCTTTAATTGAAAAAAAAAAGAGTTTTGTTATTGGCCCCTGCTGTAGGTCCAATGTCCTTCACTGTATATGTATTCTCTCTATATAAAATCATCACATAGAAGAATTACTGGAATAAAATGGGCTTTGAATTCCAAAGGTTTAAAGTCAATAATTTATTTTCTTTTCACTAAATTGAAATGATGTATTCCACAGACACTTCTATGGTAGAGAATATATGAAAGTAGAGACATTGTTTAGGAAGAGTGAAGTAATAGTCAATACCACAGGTACATGAAGTTCTAAATTAAGAAATATGAGAAATTAAGAAATACAGTTGTATTTTTGGAAGCATAAATTTTTCTTTCATTAACACTGGCTATATAGCTTATCCCCAGCTGCAAACATTAATCATGTCTACACCGCTTTATCCTTTAGAGAATGTTATAAGAAGATGTCAAACAGGATAGAGATAATGAGAACATGAGCATGGGAAAACAAAGAGGAAAAAAATACACAGAAAAAGGAAAATTCATAAAGGTCCCACTGGAAGTACAACAGAATCTTGGCTATGAAGACTCTTCAAGATGCCATTATTCAAGATCTAAAGTATGTACTGAATCTTAATTTTGCTGAATTTTAATAAGGCTTAATGGTAGAGTGGTATATGAGAGTCCATCACTCAGCTCAATGTGATCTTTGTCTGCTGGGCCTTCAAATCTCATCAAAACATCCTCTGTCCAATCTTTGTGAACTGCACATTCGCTTTTGAAATGAGTTAAAATGTCTTTAAATGATCATCAGTTCCGTTTTGTAGATTTAGGAACGTTTTTTATTGGCACTACAGAAATAAATTTTGGTGAACTTGTTCGCTTGGAAAAATTAAACAGATTTTCTATTATGACTATAATTAATTTATATAACTATTTAAGACTTAGAAGATATTCACAGAATTTTCCCCATAAATATCACCTGGTATATTCTAGAGAAACAGGAAGTAGTAGGGAGTGTAATAAATCTAGATTTTATTTCTAGACACTTGTCAGAATTTATCGTCCACTAATAGAAAGGGATTGATGTATTTTCAGCCATTCATGAATTGTATTTATAATTACATTTCCTAAAAGAAAAGAAATGCACAATTTCTCCTTTGTCAACTCAAGGGCTAATTAAACTTTATTTGTACTTCTCAGTAAGACTTATATAACGGAGAGACAAACAGAAATTATTTAGACTCTCATTGTTGTATATTTTAATATTCCTGTTTCTCATATTATTATACTATACAATAAGTATTAAATTGCCAAAAGACTAAGGTGGTGATAAAAATAACAAAATAGTTATTTTACATATATTCAATACCGAATTTAATGTGTATCATTAAACAGTCTGTATCATCACATATGAAAAACAACATCATTTCACATTCTGAAAATGTGAATAAACGTGATAATACTGTTGGCTGAAGAGCCCATTTATGATTTTTATTAATTGAATATTAGTAAAAATTTAAGAAATTTATTTTTATATCTGTGGTCCTAATTCCTTATCAGAAATATCAATAATAATATAAAATAAAGGAAAAGTTCCAAATTAAAAAAGACAACTATTACAGATATATTTAAGATATATATCACTACTTGATATCTACTTTATCTTATTTCCATGAAGTATCAAGTATTGTTAATGAAAAAAGCAAATAGGAACCACTGAAAAGAGATAAGAAAATTTTACAAGTTACCTACAACAAGTGAGAATTCATGTACCACATTACTTGATGATCAGAAAAGCACTTTAAAACCAATGGCAAAATCCAAAACTATTTCAATACTATAATCATATTTCAAGCTGTTATTCAAATGCTTAATCTACAAAACATTTTTAAATTGAATTAACAGCAAAATCAACTAATATTTATTGATACTATTTGCTAAACATTTTTCTTATATTGTCAATCTTCAGAACAATCTTCATGTTACCTACGTTTAATTGAAGCTTAAAGAGGTTAAGTAACGTGAATACATTTGCACACCTAGTGGGAAAAGCAGGATTTGAATCTGAATTTGAATCTCATATGACACTAGCATTTATCATGGTTTTATAGTTTATCTGTTCTGAGATTTGGGGGAATTTTTCTTTAACACCTCAGCCTCAGTTTCTTCATAACCTCATTTCTTTATCTGCAAAAATGTATAGTTACGATAAAATTACATCAAATATATAAAGCTCCAGTTACAGAATTTCTTACGAAAGCCAACTAACTGTTCAATGCATAATTGCTTGCTTCATTTAGTTTCCAAGGAAACTCTCCTACTACTATTCTTTCTCCCCATAGCCTTTGGAGTATCTCCTAGTAAGTATTGCACTTTGCTTGTAGTTTACATGAGTTGGATTTGCAAGAATATGCTGTAGCCAGAGATATAAAATGATGAGAGATAAGTGATTTCTTGTAATTCTTCATAATGCCCATGCCATCCACTGGGAATTATAAAACAATGAGTAGTAAACATATTATTTCTGACAAAGAAACATTTTCAAATACCACATACTTTGCTGCTTCTCTGACCTTTTAGAAGGCTGATACCCAAGATTTTATCTTTGGTAAATTTTAAATGCCAGCATGTTGTCTATCGTTATCTTTATGTGCTATTAGAATCCAGTTGCATACATCAAAAAATAAGAATGGAATTTAGCTTATCTTAAAGCAGATAATAATGAAATCATTACAAGTTAAAATTCAATTGGGAGGATCCTAAGATTATCCCATTTTAGTGTGAATGTAGGGAAAAGTATTTTTCACTCGTAATAATTGTATTATTTTAATATATTTTCTAATTATATGGTTTTACTCCACTTTGAATAAATGTTTTTATGCATTTGTCTTCCCAGAGTGATGGCTGTGCATTTGAGGTTAATAGAAAGAGCTTTAGAAGTCAGGGGTTACACTAAAGAAAAATAACTAATAACTAACAAATTAAGTTTCCTACAGTAAATCCAACTATTTACAATGAGAAATATTAATAATTTTAAGAAATTTTAATGATAGCCACTAAAAATCTCAGTCTATAAAACTGTATATTTTATTTGAAAAATAAAATACAAAGTTTAATATTATGCATCTAACATTGTATAATAATAAAGTCAATAAAATTTATGACAGGTAGATTTAGGGTACAATGGGAGTCATAATACATAAAAATATTTATTAAATAATTACAACATTGAACTTGTCTTTTCATTCTAAAAAAATAAGCAAGTATTTTGTTTCACTTTTATGAAATGTAATTTTTATTACAACTGATTGTACATGCATTAAAAAGATTTTGAAAAATTTAAGTGAGTCTATGTAAAACATAATCTGCCCTGGTGGTCTATGGGTTAAGACTCAGCGGTCTCACTGCCAAGGCCCAGGTTCATTTCCCAGTTGGAGAACCACACCACACTTACAAAAAACTGGCCATGAAAACCCCATGAACAGCAGTGGAGTGTTGTCTGATAACATGCCGGAAAGTGAAAGGACAGCACAAAAAGACTGGGCAGGGTTCTGCTCTGCTGTACACAGGGTAGCTAGGAGTTGGAATCTAAAAATATTGAGTATATATATGAATGTGTGGATGTGTCTCTGTGTATGCATGTGTGTGTGTTCTATTTCAGAAATGCTACATTAGAATTTTAGGTTGTCTTAGAATTCTTTATTGTAGACACATAGAAGTCTCTCTAAAAAATTGAAGCATATTTAAATCAACTTCTGAATCATGGTAAAATCTGGCAGAGGTAAAGGCTTTTCTAGAGAAATTTCTAGTAAGCTAGTAATCACTTACAGAGTAGGTATCCCCTCTCTCCAAAATAAGACATAGCTACTCAGAGTAATATGATCTCTGTTTAAATACTATCCTTTTACTTCTTAAGAAGTCCGTGATATGGCAAGTTTAATGACATTTCCTTTTGTAACCTAGTTATTTTTCTCAGGACTCTTGTTGTGTGTTGAGATAATTCAGAGCAAGCTGAAGAACTGAAAGTCTGACAAACTTTAAAAATACTCTGTAAAATTCTCTCTTCTCTCTCTCTCTATGTGGTGTGTATGTGTGTGTATGTGTGTGTGTGTGTGTGTGTCTCTAACCCTCATTGCTTTTTCTCTATTTGTAACAGTTGTTTACGGGTTGGCAAAGACAGGGCAGCGCCTTAGGGCAGTTTGCTCCATCTAACCAAATTAGGACCTTGAACTCCCAGAGAATGAGGGAAACACATTTAAATCCCAGTCAGTAGCACATTCTGTTTTTCCCTATAATTATCAAGTGTAGCTGGATGTAAACAAATATTCCAAAAATAATGAAAGACAAATATTTATATATTATTTTATATAAATGTTACATTTCACACTAAACAATAAGCATGCTAGTACAAGTATTTTCAGTATCAATAAGAATTAATTATATAACAGTAATAGACTTAAAAAAAACCCTATAGGTTAATACCAAAATATCACTGTTTTGATATTTTAAAACAAGTCAGAAGAATCACTAATTGAAAATAAAAGCTTCGAAATGAAAAGAGTCACTACCAATAACGTAAGTTTCAATTCACCAAGAAAATATAATGATTCTAATCCTTTAAGCACCTAATAATATCATCTCAAAACTATCCAGTTGAATTAAATTGAAACATAGATCCACTCTCCTATTGGGACAATTTAATTCATCTCTCTCTGTAAATGGCAGACAATAAATATCAGTAAGAATTTTGATCTTAAAAACTTAAAATACCTGGGGCTGGCGCTGTGGCCAAGTCGTTAAGTTTGCGTGCTCTGCTGCAGGTGGTCAAGTGTTTCATTGGTTCCAATCCGGGGCGCGGACATGGCACTGCTCATCAAACCACGCTGAGGCAGCGTCCCACATGCCACAACTAGAAGGACCCACAACAAAGAATATACAACTATGTACTGGGGGGCTTTGGGGAGAAAAAGGAAAAAATAAAATCTTTAAAAAAAAACTTAAAATACCTGAATATACTGACAAATACATAATTTTCCACTTAATAACTAAGAAAATATATACCTTTTTCTCTACCATGCAAGTTCCACTCATGAAAACTGATCTCATTCAAGGCTCTGAGGCAAGTCTCAAGAAACTAAAAAAAAAAATCATTGGCCACAAATTAATTAATTTGAAAATCAAGAACACACATAGTTTAGGAAGATTCCAATTGTTTGGAAATTAGGAAATATCCCTGTATAACTCAAGGAACAAGAGAATTTTAATAAGGGGCCAGCCCCGGGGCTGAGTGGTTAGGTTTGCACGCTCTGCTTCAGGGGTCGGGGTTTCACTGGTTCGGATCCTGGGTGGGGATATGGCACCGCTCATCCAGCCATGCTGAGGTGGCATCCCACATGCCACAACTAGAAGGACCCACAACAAAAATATACAACTATTTACTGGGGGGATTTGGGGAGAAAAAACAGGAAAAGAAAAAAAGATTGCCAAGTTGTTAGCTCAGGTGCCGACCTTTAAAAAATAAAGAAAGAAAAATAAAATAAAATAAAGAATTTTAATAAAAGCAGAAATGAAAAGTAATGACAAAACTATGTAACAAAACTTGTGGCTCTAGTTAAAATTGTAGCAGAGAATTTTCTACAATAAAACAAGTTATAAAAACTAAAGCAGAATAAAATTAAACATCAAAGGAGAAAGGGAAAAATTATAAAAATAAGAAATACGGAAAAGAGAAGATCAACATAGTACCAGAAATTCTAATGTACCTAAGGGGAAAAATCTAAGAAAATGTGGGAAACATTTTTATGGGAAAAAAAAACACCATATATATGCATTCATAATACTTGTATAATAAAAATTTTACATATTTTATGTTTATATTTATTATACATATTTTACTGACATATTAAAGGAGATTAATGAATCAAGAGATATCACATATTCATGAATTAGAAAACTTAATATTGTAAGATGCCGCATTTATCAAATACTACATATAAATTCCAATGAAAATCCCACTAGGATTTGGTGGAAATTAACAAACAGAATATGAATTTTAAGCAGCCAAGGGCCAACAATAGTCAAGGAACTCCTAAAGAACAAGACTTATAGGCCAGATAACTATCAAGTATTATTTTTAAAGATGCCATAATTTTGACAGTGTCCTATGACAGTGATATAAACTAATCTATATTTCAACACATATGACTGTAGAATTCAGGATTGAGTTTATATATAAGATTCCTATAAATTTACAAGAAAATCACAAAGTATCCAGAAGATAAGTGGATACATACTTAAGAGCAATTTACAATGGAGGAAATACAAAAGCCTGATAATTCTAGTATGATATCATGTATTTAAATGTCAAAACATGCATCATAAAAATATAATTTTTAGTAATTTTCACATACATGATAAAATTCTAAAGAAAGAGAAGTGAAAAATAAAAAAAAAAAAATTGAGGCTAGAAGTCCTCTGGGTGGGAGAATTGGAGGTTGTAGTCAGGGAAAGGCTACCAGGGAGTCCATGAGACTGGAAAGTTCTGTGTTGGAAATGATTGGTGGGCTCACAGGTATTTATTTTATACTATTCCTTATGTGTCATATACATGTTTCATATGTTTGTTTTTATGATATATTTCATATAAAATTGCACAATGTAAAGAATATGATGGTAAGTTATACCAAGAAAGTAAAAAATATGAAAACGCAATGTAAGACATTTCCAGAGAGAATAAACTTCTCCTCTCATAACAAACAGAATAGCATCACAAGATTATCAACAAAGAAATAAAGTTCTGATTGACATCAGACTTAATATCTAGTGGAATTCCAGAGGTCAATGAATCCATATTAACCAAGATAGTCAAAACCTAGACTCTTATACCCAACCAAAATAGCATATACCACTGAGCATGGAATAAAAGCATTTTCAGAAATGCAAGGACTCAAAGTCTACCACGCAATGACTTACTAAAAGTGAGTTACTATTAAATGCATTCTTGCACACAAGTAAATTAATGAACAGTCATGAAATATCAGAAATAATGATGAGAAAGAAAGCAAGTAAAATATATAATTAATTCTAACAATTGTTAACTAGAAACAAAACCCAACAAAACAAAATTGTGTCCTTCTTTAATTTTGGTTATCTTATGCTTCTTTAATACTAGGTTTTGAATCGCAATAATTTTTTTCAGGAAAGATTTAGGTGGTCTCACTTTAGTCTGTGTCACAAGATGTATTTTTCACTGTAGGTTCTGACAGAGTTTTTCATTGGTGATATAGGAAGATTGTTAAAACACACGCACATACATGCATACACCCACAGCACTTGCATATGTGTATGTCTGTTATACATTCAACAAATCCTAAAAAGGAGAGAGCAGAAGTAGAACACCCTGTACCCTTGACACAGAGATGCTATGGCTAGGCTCCAATAAGTACTATATGCAATACTTTCAATGTTTGGTATTTAAATGCCGCATGGGAAGATGAAATCTATCAATCAAATTTTGTACAGTTGTTTTAATTATTCTCTATCCTTGCTTGGTGTTCGTATACACAGGTAGATTATTAACATAATTTAGACTGTTGTGCTCACTCACAGGTTCACAACTGGGATTAAAAAGAATAGGACTTCATTGTGGGAATCAAAATCTGGAACTTTAAAGGGCAAAGATCTTTTTATGGGTAGAGGTACACAGATTACTCTTCTGAGATGAAGAAATATTTTCCTGGAGGAATTAAAATAAATAAGAATTTCATTTTTCCAGAATTAATTTTATGTTTCTTGAAAAGTTATGATACATGCCAAATTTGTTTACATTTCCAAAGTATTGCATGCAAAAGGGAACAGCTGCCGTAGTAGTTACACCTGAAATTCTCAGAGTTGGCAATAATAAAAGAAAAAGTTTCATAGTGTGTAGAAAGGGTCAAAGAGTGACAGAACGCAGAATGCTACGGTTCAGCTTTGGAATAAGGAAGTTAAACCAAAAACAGACATAGGCATTGGAAATACATGTTTGTAGAGAAAAAATAAGCTGTGATTTCATTGACACCAAGATTAAGCACTAAACAATGTTTGAAAATTTAATGATATCTAAAATAAAAGAATCCTTGAGACAATTTTAACATGAATCTTATCTAAAATATTCCCCTCGAATGTTCCTGGAGTGTCTGCATGAGCATGTCAAATGGTATGGATCACTACTTTTCAGAGTGGAGGTTTTGCGTCTTTGACTGTTGGATGTTCTCCTTATGTCCAGTTATAAACTGTGCCTGTGCATATTCTAACCTTCTAGTTTCATTTCCTGTTTTTTCCCCAAACATAGTATCTATTCAACTTCAAATATATATGAAACCAGACAAAATGGAAAGATGGAGATAATATCAACTGCTGATTCCCAGTCAAAGCTCAGATCCAGAGACATGAATGAATGAATGTTAAATAAAAGCTGATAACAAAAACTCAAAAGCTGGGTAAAGAAAGTGGCCAAAGATTGAGGGAAAGCAGCAACCTCTGGTAGCAGAAGTTCCTCCCTATGGTGAGAGAACAGGCTATGGGACAGCTTTTCTTTCTGGCACATTGCCATGGGAAGACCATTGCCCCCAGCTGCTTCTCCTGGGCAGAAAAAAGATACAAAAGTTAGCATCACCGAGGCAGAGTTGTGAGGTGCAGGTAGAAATCAATGAAGGATGATTCCTCTTCTCCTGTCCTTTATTCACCCAAGCATTATAGCCAACAAAGAACAGCTCTCAGTGGATGTGATTCCCTGAATCACCTAATGGGAGTGAAGCAAAAGAGGGTGAGCAAGAATATGACGATGTGAAAAGTCTCCCAGGAGCCCTATTGTGAACTGCACGTAGGTGAGGGGTATTAAGAGTCTTCAACCACTGCATTTTTGACTTATCAAATTTTTTTATTCATGTCATTCACTTATTTCTTTTAGAATTTTAACTGACTTTTTGTGTGGGTGTGTGCTAGCCAGTTATCCCACTATTGTTATATTTTCTGCCATTCACTATCCTATAGTATATACTGTACTACATATTCTAATATAGGATTTTTTCTTTGTTTTGGTTTAAATTCTTTTGTCATCTCTGTCAGTTCCCTGTTAATTTCATATTGTTGTATTAGCTTCTCGTTAATCACTGCTTGTAAGAAAGTGACAAAAAGGAAAAAGATTCATGCCAATTGATTCAGATGATTTAGCAGGATAAGTAACTTCCTCCTAGGAAGAAAAATCTTCTTTGTCTCAGGTAAAGTACCTTAATGGAATAATGAGATATTTGGGCATAAAGAGGCCTTCCAAGCATAGCTCAGATAGAAGACATTTACATTAGAGAAAGCCAATTTCTCTCCATAAGAGATAAACAGAGATTTTCCTTTTCTTTTTTATTTTTTTTTTTGAGAGGAGGGAGGGAAACTGGCAGTCAGTGCTGGAGAATGTTATCCTAAGAGGCAAGGGTAAGATAGCAATAACAGAGGGCATAAGAAAGCCAGGGAAAAATCCCCTTTATGTGTAACAGATATCGAATTTTAGGACAGTGATATTCAGTATGTAAGTTTTTCTTGCCTCATCTATTAGTATCAACTGCTGTCTCACACTTGCAGTGAAAACCATTTGCACCAATAGCCTTGTTTTAATGGTATTTATGGAGAATAAATGAAGATTTAATTGGAAAAATGGTTATAGCAAAGAGCACCGAGAAGGAGATTTCAAAAGGGGATTTTAAGGTGGGCAGCATTTGTGAAAGATGGTTAAAAATGAACCAACTATTAAAATATATTCTATTTATACCAAATACTCCTAAAAGTCACAATAATATTAGAGAGATGGAAAATCTCATATTTCATTTGATTTTAAAGTTTTATTGTTTAAATGTAAAGGGAATCTACAAAATGATGAAGGTTTGAACTCACCTGGAATAGATTTATTTTATACTCTTTAATTTTCAAAGAAATTAGTTTTTATTTATTGCTTCTAATTTTAAGAATAAATTTATCTTGAAAAAAGAAAAAAACTATGGCCATCAACTAATTCAGTATGTTCTGTTTCTCTCTTCAGAAACTTCTCTTTCACGGTATTTCCCCATACTTATATATACTTGAGTGTAAGTAAGTATACTCAAAATGTATATTTTCCTAAACCTAGCATAACTGGGTATCACTTGCACCCCATTTAACTTTTTCTAGGTGTAGTTGATAAGGCTTTCCTAGAATTTATGAAGGAGGGGGTGTATTAATTTTCCAGGGCTTCCATAATAAAGTACCACAGACTGGGTAGCCTAAACAAGAGAAATGTATTTTCTCACAGTTCTGAAAGCTAGAAGTCTGAGCTCATGTGTCTGCAGTGTTGATTTATTCTGAGACATCTCTTCTTGGCTTATAGATGGCCACCTTCTCCCTCTTTCTTCATATGGTCTCTCCTCTGTGTCCTAATCTCCTCTTCTGACAAGGACATCAGTCGTGTTCGATTGCTGCTCATCTTAATGACCTCATTTAACCATAATCACCTACTTAATGTCCCTGTCTCTAAATATTGTCACATTCATATGATTTCAACATCTGAAATCGGGGGAACACCATTATGCCCATGAAAGGGGGTATATGAGACAGGTTTATTTCATGGTTTTAATCACTCAGAATCCTAATGTGGTGGGTTTGGAACTCACAGCTTCAGCAGGGGAATTTGTACTTATTCTTCAGGTAGAAATAGCTGCATCTGGATAGAAGCTTTAACATCTTACTTGAATCTCATCTGATTATATTCCAGGACTACCATGAAGATGTATCAAAAATTCTACCATACTGGAGAGTCCAATATCCCATTCAGTTGGTGGTCTTCCTGGCAAAAAAGTTGCTTGCCAGCTCTAATTTAGAATGAACACACTAAACCCAATGGTGAAAAAAACAATTAAAAGAAAATCTACTCTCCATACGACATGTGTCTATTTCTGCGTTCTAACCTAATTCACAGCCATCTACACACAATTGTCTGTGGTTTCTGTTTTGCCCAACTATTAAAACAGTCTTAGTTAAAATGATCTATTTTTTCCTACCGTTCCACTTGAACTGCCTTTGGCTATTGCTCCTCAAGACTGGAATATGGAGGGGCTGCTTCTCTCCTTTATCACACAGTAGCTTTGTCAGGAATTTCAGGATTTCCTCAATGTTTGCAGTGATATGTTTGACATTATTCCCTCCCTAACTTCAACACTGATTTTTTTCATTTTATATTTTCCTATTTTTGTAATTTGGGTTGGTTCTTGTATGGATTTGAAAATTTGCACTTACTTTAAGCTATAATTCCCCAGAATTCTCCATTTGTAAGGCCTACTACTACGTGGATGCTCTAAAGATCCTCACAATACCAGTATTCAGGTCCCCATGCCTAGTTTTCCCCAATAAATCACATTTCTCTTTGACAGTTGAAATTTAGCAAATGAATTTTGTGAACATGTAGCCATTTTAACTCAAAGTCATCATCAGGGAACAAAATTCTTGTCAACAAAACTAAAATTTAAATCAGTCAATATCAGGCCATATAATTTCCCTTTAATGGATCACTTTTGAATTTCATATGTTCTTTCAATTGAATGTAAATCATTTACCATCTGGTCCAAACTTATTTTTCAGTTTTACTCAGATTATTTTTCCACTTTCTTCTTTAATCCAACAATATGTCAATATTCCTTTTATTCCAAAATAAGCTTTATACTTTCCTTACTTGCTATTTTTATCACATTGTTTTCTTTGAGTGTATCTGTCAAATATTTATCCCCCAATGTCCGTGCTTAGCAGCTAGCTTCACAGCAAGCTTCCAGTCCATCTTCTATAATCTGAGCCCAAGGCCCCAGAAGGGCATCCACTAGAGGAATATCCAGCTCTGCTTGTCTTCATAAGCAGGAATCAGGGTAAGTATGGATAGCAGTGTAATTCTCCCAAAGGAATAGTGTTTAAACTCTCCATCAATTTTTTTTAATTCAAAGAATTAGAATTCTTCCAATTTTTCACTGACTGGTACAGTTGTATACATCCCAGCACTTGGCACTGAATGTTCTCCAGTCATCATTTTGAAGTTCTTATCTTTGAATCTGTGTTTTTGTAAATGAGTCTTAACAGACAATGCTGGGTTGGAGTAGGTAGTGTCAGATTTTAATGAGGGCCCTGCCATGTCTGGGACTCGGCAAGGTGGTGGCCATCCCTGACTCAGGCAGGCAATTCTGTGGTGCCTTCCAAGAGGACTTGGTGGAGGCCTCTTTACCCACTCCCCATCCAGATACTGAGCACGTCCCAGCATGGAAATTGCAATCCTTCAGGGTTACGCATGGCTTAGAGTGGTGGGCTCTGGGGAAATGGAAACTGATTTCCTGCTCCTAGTCATAGCCTTGCATTTTCATTTTGCACTAAGCCCCTCAAATTATGCAGCCAACAATGCCTCCAATGAAACACCCAGCAAAGAACTACTCTATACCAACTATTCTAAGGTAATAAGAGCTCCTTTACTCCCAGCTACTCACAAAGTTCAACATTTAAAATCAAACAAGAGTGACACAGGGGTAAAGGGCACTCCACAGCCACTGATTATATTTTTTTCTCTTGAATGGTTTCAATAAACGTTGTTATTGTGTTAAACTGAATTAATACAGTTCTGAAGGTAAGATGTGTACATATCTGAATAATTAGAAAGCACATATAAGTGCAATCTGAGACAAATAACGTTCTATATACAAAAGTTGTAAAGGCACATTTCATCACAGTGTGGTACCCAGATTGTGTCCCAATTCTGGACCTATCACTTTGTAGATATGTATTCTTGCAACATGCTTTATTTTCCAAATATCATATTTTCATTGTTTCTAAATTTTTATCTGTTTAAACCTAAACATATGCTGGAAATAAAATAGACACTTAATAAATTTTAATCACCTTCTTACTCTAAAACAATTACCTTCTATTATTAACTTGGAAAATCACACTGAACTGGTAATTACCTCCCACAATATATCACATAGGTCATGGCCTGGAAATAAAAACATTGACACAAAAAGAACAAAATTAATTTTCACAATTAAGTAAGAGATTTAGAGTTTCCAGGAGGATCTGAGGAAGGGTAAGGGGTAGGCAGCACCTCAGAAAGAGGGGAAAAAGATGAAGATGATGTAATTGGCAGACCATCACATCATGTTGTTGGTTACATCAGTGTTGATGGCTAGAGAGAATTATTGAAAGAATTTTTAAGAACATACTTGAACTTTTTGCTATTTAGTAATGTCATATAGTATCCTTCAATAAAATAATTCCCAATGCTCAGTAAAATTCACAACTACGTACAGCCTTGGACAGTAATTTTGTTAAGAGTTACAAAATAAAGGGTGCTCCACTAAAGAAGTACACCACAGTGACCACCAGTGATAACTCACAGGCATGGCTTAATCCAACAACTGTTAATTCACCAGGAGTAAGAACTCAATCCAAATATGTGAGCTTCCTGGACCACCTTTTCTGGAGAGAATTGGGTAATAATAAACTATCACTAAAAATAATAGCAAACACTTAGAGAGTATTAAACACATAACAGACACTGTTATATACAACACAAAAACTACTCTGAAACAGATAATATTAGCATATAGATAAGGAACCTAAGGCACTGTCACACAGGTTACAAGTGGAACAGCCAGGATTTGAACTATGACTCTTCATCTCTAGAGCCTGTGCTCTTAACCTCTACTTCACAAGACTTCTCTGTACTGATTCAGGTTCCTAATAGAGGTGAATGAGATTTCAATTTTTCCCCAGATAATATATGACTTATACCAACTTGGATCTTTTTCTCTTTTACTCAATAAACATGGGGAAATAGGTAGCCAGAAGTACAAAACCGTTGTACTCCATTTTCCCCCAATAGGTTAGGGGTCACCTTTTTCTTCTTTCTCAATTGCTTCGGACAGTCTAGTCCATTTCCGATGGTCCAGCAGGAATAAGATTATAGATTTCTGAAACAGTTTATACTACACCTATTTTACGTTTATTTCATCCTGAGATTTGTATCTTTTCAAGTGATATGTAAGTGATATTATTTGTTCATGATGGGTCAATATACATAGTATTTTCCAATTAGATAATTATTATAGCTTCTACACCATTTTTCACTGTATTTCATTCAAAAATGGTAAAAGGACCTGTATTAGACTTTGCAATTACTATTACATTGCTGAGACTGTTCCTGAGGACTCCACAACATAACATTTCACAGGTGGTGTTTATTTGATACATGACATTAGACAAAGCAGAAAAAATGGGCAAAAACAACATGCCCAACATGTCTGGATTGTGTTTCACTTGTGAATTTAAGCAAGTTTTCAGTGGCTTTGGCAGTTAAAATAAGGCAAGGCTTTTGTCACTGCTGAAGGTTTATTTTAGTTTGTTTAGAAATTCATTTCACTTACCTTGGAGGTAATGAGTCAGCGTTTCTAGCCAAGACAGACAAAGGGTCATACCAAGTCTAGGAAACTGCATAGAATGTACATATACTCTTTCTGTGTCTTTGACTCTCGATAACAAAAATTTTCATAGTGATGTATACTAAAAATCCTAAAATTTATTAAACAGCTATTATGTGTCAGGAATTATGAGCCTTATCACAGGACTTTCCTTCTCTTCTTAAATTGTCTTAACATATTTTCCTGATCTACCCCAAAAATACACTCCGTATTCTGCTCTTTTTTCTCCCTGCTCTGATTTCATTAACATAATCTTATTCTTCTTTGATCTGATTTAATGTTTTCATTAAAAAATGATTGTTGATTAGTTAATCACTCTTTTCTCCCTACCTCTCAGGAGTCAGCCTGCCTGAGAGAGTACCTCTAGACTGTGAGTTCAATAAGGGTAAGCTCTGCCTCTCTTCATTGAGGGAGATGAGGAGCCTAAAGCTTCAATTGAGGTGTGTACTGCTGGACCTTATTCAAATGGTCTGGGGACTACACTGGTGGATTTGGACAAACAGTAGTGACCTTTGCAGTATGAGAACTTGACATTTAATTGTGTATATGTAGCTTTACCTTCTATCACAGGAGATGCTGAAGCTGAATGCAATCTCCCTTAGGCATTGTTGAACAAAACAACTTGTCCTGCTTTTTCTAAAGCTGCTGATTTGAATGAGTGCCACAGAGGAACTGTGTGCGAGCTTCTAGCTTTAACTTGTCAGTGCCCCTTGGTAAGCACACTAGATCGGCTACCCCAAATTCCATTTGGGATAAGAAGTCAGGTAGGGAACAGGAAATATTCACCTTATATGCAAATGGTTATTCCTGGACACAATAACCAGGGTCATATGTGGTCTCAAGTTAATTCTAAATTATGTCTGAGACCCAAACATGAGTTTTCCCATGGAAAGGTGTTACATTTCATCAAAACATAAAAAGAAAAGAAATGGTGGCTCTTATTGCAAAAATATGCCAATTTCTTAAGTCAAGTTAGTTAAAATACCCATGAAATTACTACAAACCCAAATGATAAGAAAGTAATTTAAAAGGCCTGAAATTGGAGCATTGCCTCTGGAAATCAAGTTTGCAAATAAATCAGCATAGAAGTAGAGTGGATTCTGTCTTACTGTCAGAATGAAAACAAAATAAAGGAAGAGGGAAAATAATTAAGCTAAAAGCGGAGAGAGATTTCCTTAACAGAAAGTGAGGAAACATTAAGAGACAGATTGGATACATATGAAATGAAAAATGAGATACTGATGGCCAGAATAGGAAAATAAAAGGAAAATATAGGTTACTCACATTTAACTATCTTTAAGGAAGACATTAGACAACGTGTCTTAATTGTTAGCACGGTCCACAATTAAGAAGGCAGCACATTCTCAGGGCAGCTCTCATTTCGTGCAAACATAGGATTCAAAAGGTGAGTGGAAATTAAGTGGTTTGATTA